AAACTCATCTTGAGGAGAAAGAATGCTGAGTTGCATCCAAAGAACACCATACCTACTGTGAAGCATGGGGGTGGAAATATCATGCTTTGGGGCTGTTTTTCTGCAAAGGGACCAGGACGACTGATCCGTGTAAACGAAAGCATGAATGGGGCCATGTATCGTGAGATTTTGAGTGAAAACCTCCTTCCATCAGCAGGGGCATTGAAGATGAAATGTGGCTGGGTCTTTCAGCATGACAATGATCCCAAACACACCGCCCGGGCAACGAAGGAGTGGCTTCGTAAGAAACATTTCCAGGTCCTGGAGTGGCCTAGCCAGTCTCCAGATCTCAACCTCATAGAAAATCTTTGGAGGGAGTTGAAAATCCGTGTTGCCCAGTGACAGCCCCAAAACATTACTGCTCTAGAGTAGATCTGCATGGAGGAATGGGCCAAAATACCAGCAACTGTGTGTGAAAACCTTGTGAAGACTTACAGCAAACGTTTGACCTCTGTCATTGCCAACAAAGGGTATATAACAAAGTATTGAGATTAAATTTTGTTATTGACCAAATACTTATTTTCCACCATAATTTGCAAATAAATTCTTTAAAAATCCTACAATGTGATTTTCTGGATTTTTTTCTCATTTTGTCTCTCATAGTTGAGGTATACCTATGATGAAAATTACAGGCCTCTCTCATCTTTTTAAGTGGGAGAACTTGCACAATTGGTGGCTGACTAAATACTTTTTTTCCCCACTGTATAAATTGTCCGGAACAATTGCCAGAGACTACAATTGTAAGGGCATTACCGAAAAAACAGACAATCTGACAGAAGGGTTTAAATTATCTTCTGGTTAAGCGTTAACCATGAAGGTCCAACACTTCAAAAAAGGTAAATGTTGCTGATTAACTCTGAAAATACTCTGAAAAGTTTGTGTTATAAAACAAATGGAGATAGTGGGTAAATGAGAGCACTGTGGTTTCAATAATGGCATAACAGCAGCATCAACAGGTAGTTATAATTTTCAGAAAAGGTTGTTTCATCACTCTGAAGTATCCATGCACTGAAGTAGTTTCTATAATGCAGAGGCCATACTAGCTGTTATCTACACGGGGTAATTATCCCAAAAGTAATAATGTTATCAAGGTGTTGAGAGCCACCCGTCAAAATGATTTATATGGGCCACCATTCTTATTCTTCCTCCGCTTATTTTATCACACACTATAGAAATCGCACACACACACTCACACATAAAGGCTTTTACAGACTATTCTGCCCTGCTGGACACTTAAATTCATCAAATTGCTGAGATGGGCCATTTTCCTTCTGAGGCCCGTTGTTAATCATCCAAACATTGCCGTCTCGGACGTCAGGATGCAAGTTTGGCCTGTGCATCACTGACTGTCTCTCATGTTTGTTTAAATCAGATATCTTGAGGAGTCTGAATTTTACTGGGATTAGGACTGTAATTAAACTTGTAAGAAACTTGAAATTTTTGCACTGCTACCAAAACATGCCTTTGCCTATTCTCCTTCAACATTTTCAATAAAAACGCAACTTATTACATGGCACACAATGAACACTGGTTAATACGAAAGAGTCTGGGGCCTCATTTTCAGTCGTCCTACATTTGATCTTACGATCATTTTTCAATTGTGCGTATAAGTGATTCAGAGAACGAACATACACACTAAACACGTGCATAACACCTCTCTTTCAGAAGTGAAATGTAGAAATAGCAAGTGATCTTGAAATTGTTGCACGGCTTACTTTCTAGAGTCGTGACGTAATTAAAGAAGATATTTTGAAGAGTGTAGGTAACCAAACAGATGCTGGTAACCATTGACTTGCATAATATATATAATATATATACTGTATATATATATATATATATATATATATGGTTCTCGCGTTCTCTCTTCAGGTGTTCATACGTATCAGAGGATGTATGGATGTGATTGGGACAATCAGACTAGAGCTTCAGAAGGGTTTGATCAGTACAGTTATGATGGAGAGGATTATGTCACACTAGATGTGAAGGAACTCCGATACATCACACCTGTACAGCAGGGAATAATAACAATGCTCAAGTGGAATAATGACAGAGCACAGCTTGAATTACTCAGACAATACTACCAACATGAGTGTGTTCACTGGTTAAAACATTTCTTGACGTTGAGAAAAGTGGATTTAGAGAGAAGAGGTAGCTTGCCTTTCGTGAAATTCACTTTGTTTATCAAGCAGATATTTTATTATTATTATTATCATTATTATATTGAATGATTAATTGGCATTTGTCTTTTCTCATGGTTTGCTTCATTAACCCACTGGTGTTCTTTGCTTATATTTTACCTGAAATACTGCATTAATTGAAAAATAATGAAAACATTAGAAACAAATATTTTCAGTTGGAAAAATGGATCATGATTACTGCACAAATATTAATAAGTAACAGAAAATTATATCAAATAGATTTAGGTGTGACTTTTGACCACGAAACCACAAATGTGACTCCCAAATGAGGAGCACTGAAAATAAAAGCTGCATTTATGTTTGAGTTGATCTTATCATTAATTTGAAGTATTAAATATTTTCCTCACATTTTTTTTAGCTCCTGAAGTGTCTCTGTTACAGAAGGATCCCTCGTCTCCAGTGGTGTGTCATGCCACAGGTTTCTACCCAGCAGCAGTGACTATCACCTGGTTAAGAAATGGACAGGATCACGATGAGGATGTGGATCTTGGAGAGCTACTACCAAATGTAGATGGGACCTTCCAGAAATCATCTACCCTCAATATTAGACCAGAGGAGTCAAAGAAGAACCAGTATGTTTGTGTGGTGGAGCACGAGGGAAACACCATCCAGAAGATTCTGAGAAAGGACGAGATCAAGAGTAACAACAGTAAGTTCTTAATAGTGTGGTATAGTGTTTTTATAGTTGTTATTTTATTCAGAATTTTCATGTCACATCACACAGGGAACGTGTGCCCAAAACGTGCATTTATTTTAACATAGTTTTTTATTTTCTTCTTCTTTTGAGGTGAAAACCCTTTAGGCCTGTGCTGCGATGCTACGGACATTTTTCACTCCAGGTACAGTATCTATGCCAGTCGCATGACTTAAAACATTATTTATATACTATTATAGTTTGTATTAGTATCTGAAATTCTTTAGTTTGTGTTTTTCATATTTATTTTTAATTTTTATTTACATTTTTAGTCATTTAGTTTTTTGGTTTTGTGTTTGTTATTTTTAAATATTACTATTAGGTTTAATTTATTATTAGTTTAGTTTTTTTTTTAGCTTTAACAGTTATTCTGGGTGCCAAGACAACATTTTTAATTTTCATTTAGTATGTTTTTTATATAATATTTATAGTGTTTTGATTTCAGCTTTATGTCAGTTAATTAACGCGATAATATCCCTTTTTTTAAGAACCTACATCCATGCGCTTCTGTGTGTGATGGAAGCATTCATATTTGTACTGTAGTCCCTATAAAGCAAGTAAGCATACTGTATGTTTACATGTCTTTTTCCGATCTTTCTCTGAACTGATCTTATTTCACATTCAATTGGTTTCAACTGTAGGATGTTGGGAATAAATGTGGGAAAGCAAAGTGAGGAACACAAAATATATTTGACCGAATGCTGGAGTGTAATGCAAAACTCACAAAGCTTTTGTGAGAGACCCCAAAATCATTGGAATTAATTTTTTCCTCTCTTTTGTATTTCTTCTATCACCATGTCCCTTCAGGGGCTCTGTAGGAAACCTTTCCAAATGTGTTCCCCCACAAAAGTGTCTCAGGCGAATGCAAAATTCCTTGGGGAATGTAAACATTTTGGGGGAATACAAATTTTGTGAATGAACGTAAAATGTTTTGGAAATGCGTTTTTTGTGTGTGTGTGTGTGTGTGTGTCCAATAGAAATTCCAGTAGGGTAGAATTAAATAAAGCCAATGCTTTACTAATGTTGAAAAGCACTGTTATGGTTGGAAATTCAGAATTCAAATATTCAAATACGTTAAAATGCAAAGCCTCATCTTCAGTTCTGGGCGGTGACAAACTTTTGAATGCTAGTGTAAACTAAAGACTCCAAAAGGTCTTCAGACATCAAGAAATTAGACATATTGTTAACTAATAAATGATCTCTACATGCTGTTTAAAGCTTTTATTGCTCAGCCAATCATTAGATGTGTAATTCAGTTTTCAGTAGCTGGATTCACATGGATCACAATAGTCCACTCTTATTCAGACTACTCCTAATAATCAAAATCTCATGTAACCACGTCATTTGGAATAAATTGCCCAAATCTGGTAGAAATTTCATTTGGATACACCCGGTCTAATTTTATAAATAAAATATTTTTATGTCACGGAACGTAGTTTTAAGAGTTTTTTTTATTAGAAAGTAGTTGTTTAGACTTTAAATATGCAATAAATATGTAATAAAGATGACATCTATTAGAAAATATGCTTCTGTGTTTTCGGAGATGAGAGCTCCAGGACGTCAGCGGCGGTCCAGCATTCATAAACCCGCCCGAGAGCACCTCACCCTCAGCCAGATCTTCTAGAATTTATCGCTGGCTCTGATGTCTCTATAGTGGTTAAGCATGAAATATAACTCATATTGGGTAAATCTCGTGGGTAGTCTTTGAAATAACCGACTGTGAAGCTCCTCGAACCGCAGGATTGTTTGCAGGCCGCTGGATGAGAGAAACTGAAGATGTAATTTGGGCTTTGAAATCTTCAGCGAGTCTCGGATGGAGCCTGCGGTGAGCAGCGGGAGTGTGTTTTCCCGCCGGCGCGCTCATCTTCACTACCTCTCGTCGAGCTAATGGCCGCTGGAATCGCACTGCAAGCGCTCGGGCCCCTGAGAGTGAGAATAAACCTGCTGGGAGGAGAGAGAGAGGGGGACCCTCGCTGTTTCAAACTAGAGGGCAGAGGAGGTGAGACAAAACACATGGCGAAACAGTGTTTATACTCCTCCTGGAGCTCCAGGGCGCCTCACGTGTCGAGTGTCGCTTCATTTTCATTACCAAGAACAATATTTCAGCGGCGGCCACACCGGCCTCATGGGGCGGAAAATTACACGATTTAGGGTTTTATCATATGAAACACAAGAGTTGCATTTTCTGAGAGACACTGAAGGGATGGAGAGAGACCTTTAAAAGAGAATACAAATCTGTTATATACTTTACAACAGATGTAAAAGAAAAAACAAACAAACGAGTTAGTAGCCTACACCAAGGTAAGGTGAGTAATTGGGGAGTTCCAAAGCTAAATAAATAAACACACACAATACTAATGTTAAGCAACAAACAAAGTAAAACGACTGATAAAAGTTATAAATGCAACTACTTGTGTGGTGTATTATTTAAAGAAACAGTGCACCCAAAATGAAAACTCATCATTTGCGCACCGTCACATCGGTCCGGATTTGATGTTTAAAAGGCTTCTGGGTAAAAGATGCAACAGAATTTCACTAATTAACAATTAAACTATAAATGTTTTATTAATACCACTGTAAATGCATGAACAAAACTCACGACTGGTAATTTAAGTATAAACCCATAAACGGTAATCTGCACGATGTATTCATGTTGTGGTGCATTCTGGATTTATTTTTATTTTTTTATCACAGGATACAAAGACAAAAAAAAAATATGTAAATTGTGAGATATGGGAAAAGGTAAACACATACATTACAATACACATTATTTACATACAAATTTAGCTGATGTTGCAGGTACCATTATTAAATTACTATTGAAACTTGCTTTATTTTTCAGCTTTATATTGTTTCTTACAACTGTTTTAATGAAACAAAAACAAGGAAAACTGCAAGAGCTGCATTGAAATTAATCATTCTTTTTAAACAGATTCTTTTTAGTGAACTAGATGAATCAGACTGAAGCACCTGAAACTGTTCGAGCAGCACAGATCTGCAAGTTACTCAATCAAAACTTACTTTCAAATGCCTGACAGTCACTCACACTCAAAACGAGTCAATATACCAATGTATCTGATCTTATGATTAATTAATCATTCAGGCCTGACGGAGAGTAAATTGCTCATTTAGGGTGAACTTTCCCTTTAACAACTTACTGCACTCTAAAAAATGCTGGGTTAAATACAACCCAGTGCTGGGTAAAATAGGGACAAACCCAGCACTAGGTTGTATTTAACCCAGCATTTTTTAGAGTGTGATGTAACTCTTGATCTCGTCCTCCTCCGTCTTCCAGATGGTGTTTCCCTGGTGCTCCACCACACAAACATAAGTTGTTCAGCAGTTGTTCTGGTGTTAAAAGTGCTTGCTAGGGTGTTACTAGGTGGTTTCTAAGGTTTTGCCTTGTGGTTTATAGGGTTTTATGGGTGGCTACATACATAGGGGGTTGCTAGGGTCTTCTGTATTGTTAGGTGTTGCTATGCAGTGTTATCATGGTTGCTAGGGTGGTTTCTAGAATGTTGCCATGTAAAAGCTACATTGTGACTAGGGTGCTTAGTTGTCAGGACATTTGCTATGCAGTTGCTAGGGTGTTAAAAGTGGTTGCTAGGGCATTGGCAGGGCTGTTCTGTTATGTTTGTAAGGGTTCTATTTGCTATGCAGTTGCTAGGGTGTTGGGGTGGTTGCAAAGTATTACTACTGTATGTGGTTTCTAAGGTGTTCTGGGCGGTTAAGTAATTGTTATTAGTAGGGTGTTATGGGAACTTACTAGACATTTATTTGCAATTTCTTCAGTGCTCTGTAGAGTTACTTGGCCATTGCTAGGCAGTTGGTAAGATGTTGTGGGTAGTTGCTAGGGTGTTACGATGTGGTTGCTAGGTGTTTTCTTCCCTATGTGAAAAGAATTTCCCCACTGGTGCCTAGATACTGCTTGATTCCCTCCTTCAATATAAGTCTTTGGCCTTTGTGATTTCTATTGTGCGGCAGGATAATTCGAGGCATCGTTCATGTGTGCGGCTCAGATGGTGAGCTGAAGTCTAATAGACAAATTCATTTTGCACAAATTGAACCTGAAATTGAGTCATTCTGAAACACCTCACAATGATCACAATATAAAATGACACCCATTCTGCTATGAGCTGAACTCAATCCGCTCTCATGCCATCACGCAGCTGTAATTTGATTGGATGTGAAGTGTTTTTGACACATCCGCACTTAAGAGCTGTTGCGGTTGTTGATTGGTTGTCAGCACCTGTAGAGTTTTAACAGGAAGAGGAAATCAGGACTCTTAATGAACAACTTGGTGATGGCCTCAAATCCATGTGTGAAGATGACACTGTATATTTTTCCATTTAACTAGATGCATACAGTATCAGTTCTAGTGCGTAAACATCCTTAGATATGTTAGTTTAATGCTACTGTATATAAACGTGACCATGTCCAGCTGATTGGTAAGTTTCTATGTAAAAGAGCTGAGATCAAAGCTTTCACAGCTATGTTGTAAAAAGATTGTAATACTGTTTTTATCATAAGCTTCTTTAATGCGTGATGCTGTTTGTTGTATTAACGTAATACGTATTTTCATAACATTGCAGAAACGCTATGATATTGTTTGCACATCGTTTTGCAATGTTTTATGAATATTTTTACAACATCAGATCTAAACAAATTATAATTTTTTGTTGGTACATTTAATATTTAATTTAAATGTGCAGATTTTGTTGTTTTAATCCCAAGCAAAACATTCCAGAAACATTGTCATTTGTTTGCTTCGTAGTAAAATTACATTAGAATCATGTTTTGAAATTTATGACCAAAAATGCATATAAACAAAGGCATTTTCACTGTTT